ACCACAAAAAAACAACCAACCACCCACTCCCCACCCCACACCCCACCACACCAACCACCACACAACCCCACACCCACAACCACCAACACCCCACACAAAAACGCACTCGATACCTTAGAGTAATGTGATACGGGGGCCTTCTCATCACACATGTTTTCACACATAACGGCATATTTGGCTGCTCTTTTCCAATAGTGGAAGCAAGAATGTGAAAGCCAACGATGCCGCGGTGTGTCTCTAGACACTACTTTAGACTGCAACAACAGATGGCCAGTAACGGTGAACTTCCGCCTCAGCAGAAGTGCACCGCCAGGAATAGACGACAGCATACAAGAACTCCAGAGAAATTTGCTCGAGTCCAAGTACAGAGCGTCAATGATAACAAGTCGCTGTCGAATGTCCATACGTGGTCAGAGAAATTACACGAAGATCCCAGATCCGATCGCCGTCAATCAGTAGCGCGAGTCCGAACGTCGAGTCCCGAGGTCCCGAGTCCACAGAAAATACAGGCACTCAGTCGAGTCAAGAGACCGAGTACTCCATCAATCAGCAAGATCCTTCTTTATACATAAAACTAACACAAAAATGTTCATGAGTAGCAATGTGCCAGTTTTTTCAGATGTGTGTAATAACCAAAAGAGAGAGGACACTAAAACATCATGTCATTAGTAAAACCCGCTCAACGAGTAGAGGGACTGTACCCTTACTAGAGCCAGCCACAATAGGTCCCCCTAAAGGGGAATAATTATACTTAGGTTAGGACATCAGTGTGGATATCAGGTATTAAGGTTACGGATACAGACTCCAGAGGATGACAATGTAATCATGTAAATGATCAACCATAAGTAAATGTAAAAACAATAGCGCTAGTGGTGTAGAAGAACTTGATGACTTGTGGTTCGTGACAATGAAGGACCTGGGCTTGCAGACATCGATCGGAATACTCATCAGCTCGTCCAGACTGTACGACAGTTCAGCCGCTCCGAGTCGCATCAGGTCAGAGCAACTCTGCTGTCATGCTTGTCCTTTCTCTTTCCTTCCCTTCTTTCTTTCAATTGTTCCTTTAATTGATTATTTTTCTCAATGTACAGTGTTTCTTGCTACTCCCATACGTCTCTACAGGCGGTCCAGATGAGCGGAGAGGCTGGGTCCATACGGCACCCAAGATCGACAGGAAGAAGCTCGAGGGAACCCCCATGCCAAATAGCCAAGAAGGACCAAGATCGCACCAGGTCCGTCCTCCTTCGCTGTTACCACTCCATTTCGGTATCATTTTCTAAAGAGCAAACCAGAGTTTATTTATTTACTGAACTTTTTGAATGATTGACATCCTGTACTTTTTCCGGTTCATAGTCCATAATCATCATGTTCTCTGTGCTTTGCATGTCTGCAGAAAGCTCAGCTGAGGAACGACAAACTTCCTCCAAGATATCCCCTGCCCATCCAGGCTCACCCGCTCCACTAGCAAGGTAACGCTTGCAATGTAACGTTTGATTGTGGCAGATGTTCTTCATTCTTCATCCTGTAATATAAGTCTGTAAGATCTTATAAGGAGAAGTAACGACTTTATTATGAAAAAGTAAAGCTAAATGTGCTGTCAACGAAATGACCCTCGTTGATTCCTTCAAAAGTGAAAGGCATCACCCTACCGCGAATCATTACATAACAATCCCTTGAGGTTTTTAACGATGATAGTGAAAATGTTTTTGATTAGTATTTAAACAGGATTGAATTCGTAAATATTGATTTGAGTGTTGTCCTGCTCTTGCAGCCAGCTTGCAGGCGCTTCCTGTCCGGAGGTCACCCTACAGCGACTTCCCTGGACGCACATCGCCGGAGAGAGGACAACTTTCCTACGTCGTGTCCCTTCGAACGTGGTATACAACCAAACCAACACACTAACTTACTGATATGTTTTATGGAAAAGTTTTGGACTATTTGTGATGTTTACAATAATACGAATTAGGCACATAAAGGAATCACAGCGGATGGTCTTTGCGTTAAAATGGATTAAGTACCATCGATAAATTTAAATTGAATGTAAAAGGAAAGCGTACCAAGGTAATATAATGGAATATGATTATTAAACCAGACGTGTTTCTGTACGGATACACCTCGGTTACAGCCATCAGCCCACAAAAGACCAGCAGACCCAAGAGTTCCTCTGTGACTGGGGCCCGCATGTACATGTCCAACCACGAGTGAGTCGAGATTTAAACTGAATGTGAATGTGAATTATGGATCTAAGAAAGAAAACTAGAGGCTACAGGTACATCAAATTCTTCCATACTGAGGTCAAACATACATATTCCCTAGGGGATTGCATATGCAAGAGCTGTCATTGGCTGAGATAAGTTAGCCGTAGCGTCAGCTTCCTCTGATATATCCATGATTGCCTGAAATAACCATCCACGGAGGAATCCATCACGAGCAATTATCACCCGGTTATAAGCTCACTCCAGAGAGACTCCCTCCTAACACCTCTACCTCTCTCCTCCTCTCCTCATCTCCTCTAACTTCTCAGACTTCTAACCTCTCCTCCTCTACATCAGTGTATCC